CCCACATCTCCTCTTCAGGAACAGAGGGTCCCATGTTTGCAGAGTCAGGGAAACCAGCAGCTAAGTTGTGAAGGAGCAGCAGCTCTAATATGGTTAAGGAGAAGGATGGAGAGGGAGGAGGAGAGCATGGGGCCTTGGGGAGAGTAGGGTTGTTCCTGTACGAAGACAAAGGCTGAGAGGATTCAAAGTCACCAAGGACAGAATATATAATTAACGGTCCTCTGCACTCTCAAATCCACTTGGAACTGAACTAGAGAAATGAGGTCGGAGCCTCAGGGTGAAGAGTAATAACAGTGGCTGCCATGTGCCACGTCCTCAATGTTTCACAGACATCACCCTCTGGAGCAATACCATGTGCATCGTGTATTGTGTCCAGTACCAGGTTACAGCTAGCTGGGCTTACTGACTTTGCCAGGTCATGTAGCTGGTGATTAGCAGTGATGGTTTAAATCACTGTTTATCTGTCTCCAAGGTCCCTCTTCTAAATCAAGAAAAAAGAATGTCTTAAGAGCAGAGGCCATGGCAAGGAGTTGCTCTGGAATTGTGCTGCTTCTACTTTCTAGGTCATTCCATTTCCTCTTGCCTCCTTCACACCCACCCCAGCTCCCAGCATGAAGCTGAGTTCAGCAAATGTTAATGGACTCATTGCCTTCCCTGGCAAACAGGCAACAGGCTTGTTTCTCAGCATTGAGAAGAACCCAGCTCACATATTCTCACCATCTCCGGTTGGGGCAGGGGACACCCAAACCCTACTGGACTGTGAAGACCCTACAGTAGAGGTTCTGAACTGCCCTTTTCATCTCCCTGGGCTCACTGGCAGGAAGGAAAGGAGAAAAAATAGAATTCAGGAAGGCAAGAAAGAGCCAAGCAGGTGGACATCTTCTGCTGTGGGATATGGTGAGAACAGTGCTTTTAAAAGCTGCGTTCTTGGGCTGGAGAAGTGGTGGACTTGTAAGAGTGATTGTTGCTTAAGCATGAGGACCCGCGTTCAATCCCCAGGACCCATGTAAAAAGCCAGGCATGGTATCACACCTGAAACACTAGCGTTGTGGCAGTTAGGGTAATACGGGGATTTCCAGGCTCATTGGTCATTGGCCAAGCTCCAGTGACAGGAAAATAAGGGAGAGAGTGAATGAAAGAATGGTACATCAACACCCACCATTTGCCTCTGCAGTCATGTGTGGGTACACCATATGTGTTCATGTGCCACACACACACACACACACACACACACACACATACACTCTCACTCGCTCATGTACACATGCAAAGCTGCATTTCTTTGACCCGAGAGACTGAAGTTCTTTGGGGTTGAAAGCTCTTGAGTCTTTGACACTCACATCTCCCCGTCAATCAAGTACATAGAGACTTCTTTGCATCCGAAAACTCTTTCCTAGGTAGCATGGGTGAATGGAAAATGTATGGCTTCTGAAGTAAAGTTAACTCATACTGAAACCCCAACTAATGATGCTACCTTGATCAAACAGATAAAAGTTAATTTAACAGTGTCTCATTATCTAAAAGATTTTCATTTCAACGCATCAAAATAATTATTAGTGAATCTGTTTTGTACTCTGTTTCCCTCAATAAGTCATTAAAATACAGCATGGGTATCATGTTTAAAGCACGTCTAAATAATTTTTAGAAATAAGCAATCTGCACAGGATGTGGTGACACAGACCTGTAATGCCAGCACTCAGAAGGCAGAGACAATTAAATGTCTGGGAGTTTGAGTGCTAGTATTGGCTACAAAGCAATATCAGGAGAGCTAGCGGTGTGACAAAATCCTATCTCAAAAAGAAGAAAGGAATAAATACAAGGAGGGAGGGAAGAAGAGAAGAAAGAAAGGAAGGAGAGAGGGAGGGATAGAAGGACAGAGAGATGGGGGAAGGGGGAAAGAGATGATCTGTATTTAGATTTCATAAATTTCCAATTGAAAAAAGAGATTGCTACACCCAAGTTGTTCCCAGCATTTTGTAAAAGCTCTCCAGGCCAGTAGAGATGGCTCAGGGGGTAAAGACAATTGCTGAGCAAGCTTGGCAACATGGATTAGATCCCCAGAAGCCATACACAAATAGAAGGACAGAATCAGCTCCACACCGTTGTCCTCTGACCTCCATGCATGCACCGTGGCAAGAGCTCCCACGATGATGACGACAATAATTTCTCCTTTTGAAAAGCTCTCCAATGGTCGAATTGAACTTAAAATTAAATAGAGATGCATCAAATTAAGTAAAATGCAGCTTCCCATTCATCAGTTGTACAAACCACGTGCCTGGTGCTCCGTGTGCCCTCTGTCATGAGGCCACAGCACATGCAGCTCTGCCCCCAAGCTGGACAGGACAGTCTCTAGTCTTCCCAGATCTGTGTTCAAGGCAGCCTTTAGGCTGTGAGCTCTCCACACACAGTGACAGTGGCCCAGTCTCTGCAGTGGGATGCCACGCTTTAAAAAAGTTCTTCTGTCTGTACTTGGGGGTTTAGCGAGGGGCTTCAAGAGCTAGCATGTTCAGGTTCAAATCTTGCCCTTATTACTGCCCAAATGGGTGTCTGCAGACCATTTGCTGCACCTCTCTGTGTCTGTTTATTTGATGGTAACATAAGACTGATAAGGGGGCCCATTCAAGAGGGCTCCTGGGAGGCCTCTAGTTCATCTTGCATGTAAAGCAGCTGAATAACAGCCACATCTATAGAACACACAGTAAGTGTTCAATAGTTGCTCTCTCTTGTTTTAGATTCTAATATAATTGTCAAAGATGTAAGGTGTAGAAGAGATCAAAATGGTCACCTACTCATTATATCAGTGAGAAAACAGAGCCAGACAAGGCAAAGGACTCACCTAAGGTCATACAGCAAGTTAATGACAAAGAACCAACCAAGCTCCCTTTTTGCCAGTGCTGAGCTTGGTGATCCCTCCACTGTGCCTCCCCTAGAGAATGCTGACATCTTCAGGGAAAATGCCCAGATCTTGCAATCATATAAGCTGCTCGTTCTTTCCCCAGGAGGGAGGTGGCATTGGCTAACCCGGCCATATGGTTTGTTCTAGCTTTCTCTGCAGGGTTGTGTAAGCAGAGTGCCCGGATAGCCAGCACTAAAACTCATTTATTTGAAGATTTATGAGTGAATAGGTGAGCTAGTTTTTATTTTGATGTAGAATATATGGACATTTTAGAAGAACACAAAGCAGGCAGAAAACAGAAAAACCCACCAGACGAGAATGTGTTTTCTTTTTCTCATGATCTTTCCTCACCGCCAAAGATTGAGCTCCATCTATTTCTATCCTTTCAGCACTCCTTTTGGGTGAGGCTCTGTGCCTGGCACACGTGGCCAGCAAAACAGATATGGATGATGCCCATGTGTTGCTTAAAATATAGTAGAGCTGTGTTGGCCAGGCTTCCTGTTGCTGTGGAAGATACATTTGAAAATGAATTAAGGGAAAAAGAGGTTGATTTGGGCTTATAGTTTCAGAGGTGTCAATCTGTCACTGCAGGGAGCACACAGCAGGGCAGAGTCACTTACACCCCCACCCCAAGCGTGTGCAATGGTTGCCAGGGAGCAGAGAGAGAAAGATGGAGGCGAGAGGGAAACAGAGAGGAAGGGGAAGGGCAGAGAGCAGGATGGGGAAGGGAGATAGAGAGAGATATCGATGGATGATAGATGGATAAATGATAGATGATGGATGATAGATAGATAGATAGATAGATAGATAGATAGATAGATATGACGGATGGAGGGATGGATGGATGGATGGAAGGATATATATAGATATAGATGATGGATAGATAGATGATGGATTATGATGGATGGATGGATGGATGGATGGATGGATGGATGGAGGGAGGGATAGGTGATAGGTGGATAGATGATAGATGGATGGATAGATAGATAGAGCGCACAGTTGCTCATATTAGCTTGCTCTTCTTTCACAGCCTATGGGATGTTGCCATCCACATTGAGGGAAGATAGCGCCTGTCCCTCAGTGAATCCTCTTGGGAAACATCCTCAGGCACACCTAGAGGTGTGCTTCATTTTCTTGTTTGTTTATTTATTTATTTGTCATTTTTAATTACATTTTTATATATTTTGTGTGGGTTTGGTTTGGGTGGTCAGATCAGAGTACAACTTGCAGGAGTCTGTCCTCTCCTATCATGTGGGCCCCAGGTACCAAATTCGGGTTGTCAGGTTCTGAAGCAAGTGCCTTTATTCAGCTTACTAGTTTGCTAGATGCTTCTTTATCTGGTCAACATTAACCTCCACAGGGACAGATGCCATTGTCACTCATGGCCAAAATAACCATGTCACCCTCGTGGCTTTGTCCACAAAGAAATACCTCAGGCTTCCCTGAGAGGGCATGACAGGGGGATGAGCTTGAACCCCTCAGGGTCTCTGGAAGAACCTGGCCAGGGGCAAGCATGGGTGGGAGTGAAATACAGAAATCTCTCTGATTCGTGAACTGATCTTCAGTCACATGCCATTCTGTTGTAAACCTTCACCCAGCCATTAAAACCCTCCAAAAATAATTTATGACAAATATTTTGGATGTGCTGTGTGTTCTTAGCCAGTTCCCAATTGGCTCCCAGAGAACACAGCTATCTTCAGTTTTGGGGAGAATGGGTGTTTGCTTTGGTTTTAGTACTGTAGGAACCAAGATGGCCAGAAGCTTTTATCTGTAACTCTCTGACCCCTTCCAGGCCCTGGATGGCTAAATGTCATACTGATTCATCCTTACCACAGCCTGTAATATGGTGAGACTTATTTCCAGTTTGGAAAAGGGTCACCTGAGGCTCAGAAAAGGTTGATGTCTTGCCTCAGTTACACAGAGTCTCAGCTGCAGCAATGACTTTCCAACCACTAGTTCAGGTATGGCCTCTGACCTCCATGGCTGAGTGGTTGGAAAGTTCCCCTCCCTTCCCTTCCCCTCTGTTTTCTTCCCCTTTCTTCCCTTTTCCTCAGCCCTTGCACAATTCAGGGAAGCTAGCACTCTGGCTCTGGCTTCACCCTAGCCCTCAAGGCCGCATCTGCAGGCTACAAGCCCAGAAGCCCGGGTGCAGAGGGCTTCTACGGCTGCTGGTGCTGTGGCTACGGCTGCTGCCAGCGGCGGCTGCTGCTGCTGTATGAACTTGGAAACACTTTCCAGTGTTTCTGACCGTGGCGCCAGCAGTGACAAATGCCACACTTCCCACGAGGTTCTTTCTGTAGATTCAATCTCCTCATTTCCAAGCCATTTCTTCCCACTCTCACCCTGCCTCCTCCCAACAAAAGCCTTTGTCTATTATATGTTCAACTTTATCGTGCACCTATGCTTTTCTTGGCATCCCAGGGAGAGCCTAGTGGCCACAGGCACCCTGGCCTGTAGCAGGCACCTAACTGACATATTCTCCTTACTGAACTTGTTCCAATGCTGGGATGGCCTGTGGGGTCTCAGCTTTTAGTGTCCAGGCTCCTCACTACTGCCCCTCCAACACCACCACAGGAGCCCATGGTCCTCGATGACACAGGGTAAATCAGAGTCCTAGTTCCTCAGACTCCTCTGTGGGTTTTGTTGTTGTTCTGAGACTGAGTCTCACTATGTAGCCAAGGACAATTGAACTTGAAATTCCCCTGCCTCCGCCTCTGAGGTGCTGGGTTCTTCTTCAGCTTTGGTTTGATTTTGTTACTTTTGGAGACAGGGTCTTGCTACACAGCATGGGCTGACTTGGAATTCTCTATCTTCCCCATCTCAGCCCCACTGGGTGCTGGGATCATGGACTTGTGTTGCTCCTGGCCACCTTTGTCCTTTTGTCCCTTCCCCTTGGTGGCACCTGCCCTTGGAGCCTTTTCTACAGCAGCACTGCCTGTCCCACCTGGGCTTCTGCTTGGAACTGCAAAAGCAGCCTTTTTGCTGTCTGGGGTTGCTCTCCCATTTCTTCCCCTTCATCTCTTCCCCTTCTTGGCCCATCGCTTCCCAGCATGCAAAGCACAGTTCAAGGCCATGTTTGGGGAAATGAAGGACAATTTAATGTGGTCAGTGAACTCAGCATACAACAGTGAATCATTGTGCAGCCAAGGATGACCTGAAACTTACGATCCTCTTGCCACCACCTACCAAGTGCTGGGGTTATACACACATGTCACTGTGCCAGTTACGTAATGCAGATGATGGACCCCAAAGCATGTTAGACACTCACTCTACTAACTCACTCTACTAACTCACTCAGCCTCAGGGCTTTCCTTATTTTCAATATGCTTGTGATAACACCTGCCATCTGTTCATGCAAGCAGTGTGAAGGGTGCTTTGTGTCTCAATGTTTTCTCGTTGTTCATATGCATACCTTTTACACACATGACTACTTTATTAAACTAAAGTACAGCTGTTGAACAAGACTTTTTCCTTCATTGTTTCTTCTCTGTGTCTTTTTTTCCCTACTTAATAAAGAGTGAAAATCCCGCAGATCAACGTGACTCTTTCTCTTTCCTTCCTTCTTCCTCTCCTTTCCTGCCCCCAGAATGTGCTAGGAAGACCAGGCTGACCTCAAATAGAAATCCACCTGCCTCTCCCTCCAGGGTGCTTTGGATTAAGAGTATGTACCACTACTCCAATTCTCTTTCTTTTTAAAGGGATACATACGGTACCAAGCTATGAGCAGACCAGACTTTACAAGCAGTTTTCCCATGGACAGACATTTTGACTTCATTGTTATTTTTGTGTTATTCCATAAAAAATGCACTGAACGTTGTTTTCCTTTAAAAAAATTATACCCGCCAGGGGGTGGTGGCAAACCCCTTTGATCCCAGCACTTGAGAGGCAAAGGCAGGCAGATCTCTGTGAGATCAAGACCAGCCTGGTCTACAAGAGCTAGTTCCAGGACAGGCTCCAAAGCTACATGGAGGAATCCTGTCTCTAAAAACCAAAGGAAAAAAATTGTACCCATTTGTTTGTGTGTATTCATGCCACGGCATGAGAGTGAGGTCAGAGTCACCCCATTGAACTTGTTTTGCCTGCATGTGTGTCTGTGTAAGGGTGTTAGCTGCCATGTGGATGTTGGGAATTGAATGTGAGTCTTCTGGAAGAGCTGTCAGTGCTGTTAACCACTGAGCCATCTCTCTAGCCCCAGGTCCAGGCTTCTTAATTGTACATAGTAAATTCATAGAAAAAGGCAAACGTTTCTTTTCATAAGTTTTACTGCAGAAAAGAAAAAGTGACCCAATTTGAAATGGGATCCATGGGGTCAGGCAAAGTGTTGGTGACAAGGAAGAATCCCTTGTCCTGCCCTGGGGTCTCTGTAAAGAGAGACTATGGTGGAAGGCGGGCTTGAGGTAGCGTCTGCTCTTGTTCCTACAGCAAGAAATTCTAGATCACAAAAGGCCAGGTCTTTTCTTGCAACCAGGGCTGGGACAACACAAAGTCCACAGTGTTCAAGTACAGTCAATTTCAATAAACTGATGACAGTTTTTCTGGAAGCAGGCATTTTCCAGTTTGCACTTCCATTCAGTCAGCCAATCAACAAGCACTGTGTTGAGCATCCCAGAGGACCCACCTGGGATCTGTGCTACCCGACTTTCTGGTCTAGGAGAAATAATATGCACCTTTATGCACAAGAAAGCAGTTGTCCACATCAAGAGACAGATAAAACCTGTCCCAAACATGGTCACTCTCTCTCTCTCTCTCTCTCTCTCTCTCTCTCACACACACACACACACACACACACACACACACACACACACACGGACACGGACACATGACCATATGAACACAAACAATCTCAATCACATGCTAACATGCTCACACATAGCCTCCCAGCCACCATTCCAACCCTCCCTTCTTTTCCTTCCACCTGTGTGTGGAGAAATATTAAAAGCCACACTGGAGCTCTGGGCTCGTTGCTGTGGGAACCGCAATTGTGCAAAAATTCTGCAATCTTCACTGGTGCACATCTGAATTCTTGCTCTGAATATTACAGTCACTGTGGAGTTTGTGCTTTGAATTCTGAGTCATTTCCCCATATAGGTCAGACTGGGATGCAAAGGAGGGAGTTAGTGAAGACTGGCAATTAAAGACCCGATTACTTTCTTTCAGGCAGAGCTGAGTCTCCAAGGGTGTTTGCTGCTCTGGGACTTCCCTGAGCCTTAGACAAGAAAGTGAGCAAGGAGACCCAGAGAGAGAGACAGTTGAAAGGTTTATACTTTAAGAGAAGCAATGGCATTCAGATAAGGTACAGCCTGCTCGAGGGACCTCACAGGGAGGGGACCTGGGGGACAAGCAGCATATTTCCGCTCTCCTCCCTCCCCCTCAGCTTTGTTGTAGCTCTCTATAGCCTGAATCCAACAGAAGCCCAAAGTCCTGCGCGATGCTGAGGTTAGCCTCTTGGGACAGAGTGGACAGCCATGGCATGAAGGGACAAAAACACCCTATCTGGCATCAGCAATGGATTTTTATCACTCTTGTTTCCCTTTCTGACCTGTAAAAAGAGATTGCTAACAGTACGGTGCTGTTGAGAGTAAATGGATTACGATATGCAAAGCGCTGGAATAGGCCCTTAGAGAAAGTCAGTCTGAAAGCACTTTGTTGCTCAGTGGTTCTCACCCAGTGAGAGAGTTTTCTCAGCCTGAAGGGAGCAAAGGAACCTGAGGCTGAGATTCACATTTTCCCAAAAACCTCAGCAGGCCCCTTTCATTAGGGTGTCTCTTGGCCCCCAGGCTAGAACTCTCTTACCCACCCTGGTTGCTGCTGGTTCATTTCAGGCCTCTCATCTTCACCCCACTCTGGCCAGCGCAGAAATGGCAGCACCACAAACGTGCCCTTGGACCCAGGTAAGCAAACCATTTTCCTAGGCCCTGTAGTCAACTACCTGAGACCAAGTAGACTGTGTCTGAGAAAATAAGAAAGGACAGTGGACTTTCTGGTACCAAAGAAGCCCTCTGACTCCAGAGACATCCTCTTCCTTCTGGCCCAGGGACCAAGGTCCTATTAGGCTCTCCTTGCGGTCTGAGAACGCCTGTATTTGAGAGTCTCATGTATACCACAAGCCACTTGAGGGATTTGTGCAGAGCAAGCCAGGGTTTGTGGTGGGGTGATGAGCACTGTCAGCCCTGTCTTTCATTTTCTCTGTGAAGACCTGTGAGCAAGCAGTGGGGTGTAGTCTGGGGAGCAGAAACAGACAGGCCATTCCTATAAGAAGCTCCCTGGGATCTAAGATGGGGTCCTATGGAAAGGTCACCTACTTCCATTGCAGCAGCAGGTCTTGTCACTGTGGTGTCCTCTAGGATAGTACCTTCAGAGCAGCCCAGGGACCAGGGAAGGGACTCTTGGTCCAACAAGGCCCCTGAGCCCAAATCCTGCTTTTTTTTTTTCTAACAAAAGGGTGCCACTGGAGATGGGGGGGGGACACGACACACCAGAGAGGAGATTGTGAGGGCCATCCCCTGATTGTCACACTAGATCTAACCTACCCTAAAGCTCCAGATTGGATCCTGAGCCTCACCTTTTCTCTAATTTTAACACTAGGGTCAGGCCTTGAAGTGCTCCTGTCTTTTCCTTAAGGCAGCCCAGCTGCATCCTACTGGCGGGAAGGCCTGAGGCTCAGTGCTGGGAGGGGTGTTCCCCAAGGTCATGAAACAGGGTGGAAGTAGATCCCCCAGGCTGTCAGCCTCACCCCATTCCCAGGTGGGGGAACAAAGATCTGGTGAGGTCTCAGCTCAAATTTGACCCTTCCAGAGGAGCAGCTTGGGGTCCGTCTGGTGAACGGGAGCAGTCTTTGCAGCGGATCCATGGAGGTTCTACTGGGGGCATCCTGGGAGCCTGCGCGCGTGGTACACCAGGACAGACTCACCCCCGAGGCTGTGTGTGAAGCGCTGGACTGTGGCGCTTTGGAGAAGGCTACCTACCTGATGCCACCCACCTCGGAGTTGCCACCCAGGGCCACCTCTGGGAACACCAGCAGTGCTGGGAATACGACATGGGCGCGGGCACCAACCGTGCGATGCAGCGGAGCCCATTGGCAGCTCTGCAAGATAGAGGACCACGAGTACATCAGCGACAGGAGGCTGGTGTTGGTCACCTGTGCAGGTATATGTGCCTGCCCCCTACCTACCCCACACCTCAGGCTTCAACCACTGCAGCCAAACTTTGATCTCCAGATTTCCGCCACCAGTCTCCCAACCCGTGCAAACTCAGTTTCACATTGATGGCACACTGAACCTGTCATTTCCAGATCTGAGCATCTCCTCAGAGGTGGCCTGCAGACTCCTTCCTAGCTAGATCTCCAGAGCATCCACTTGGTCCCCGGTCCTAACCCAATCTCTGTTTATTCCCTCCAGGTAGATAAATTTGCCATGTCCCCAGGCTGCCTTTGCTCTGAGGCGTGGTGGCTGAGACCAAAGCTCTAGGACTTGCCTACCTGGTCTCTAGTCCTGCCTCCTGCCCTTCAAGTCCAACGCACATTATCTCTAAACCACGCCCACTGGGTTCTCAGTTTAGCAGGGGCTCCCAATCCTCCCTCCAAGTTACAGATACTCCCACCGAGTCCAGAGCCCCACTCTTCCTTCCCCCACTTCCAACATCCGAAACCCTCCCATCCTCAGAGAACCAGGCTGTGCGATTAGTGGATGGTGGTAGCCGCTGCTGTGGCCGCGTGGAGATGCTGGAACATGGTGAATGGGGAACAGTGTGCGATGACACTTGGGACCTGAAAGACGCGCACGTGGTTTGTAAGCAACTAAGGTGCGGCTGGGCAGTGCAGGCACTGGCGGGCTTGCACTTCACCCCAGGCCAAGGACCCATCCACCGAGACCAGGTGAACTGCTCCGGGACCGAGACATATCTGTGGGACTGTATGGGGCTGCCTGGAGACCGGTACTGTGGTCACAAAGAGGACGCAGGAGTGGTGTGCTCAGGTCAGTCAGTGAGCCTGAAGGAGGTGACATATTTGGGATGGGGCAGCTTTAGTAGGAGTGGGTCTAAGGCAGGGAGTGTCCCATCTACCCTCCCCATCCCCATCACTGTTGAGCTATCAGAGACCAGGGGTTCTGGTCCTGCCTGTGCTGCTTGTTTATATCCACAGCAATGGCCTTAGTAAACTGATGGGTAACCACCCCCAGATGCAGCTGCTTCTGCCTGTTCACAGCTCACACTTGGAGCAGCCAGATCTAGAGTCCCACCAGAGGGCCGGCCAGAGCAGGTGGGGCGGGCAGAGGGTCACAGGTGCAAGAAGAAAAACACATAGGGCTCTCTGGGCCCATCTCTGCTTTGGGGTTCTCAGAACACTCTAGACTGACTCTATCACTTGCCCGCAGAGCACCAGTCCTGGCGTCTGACTGGAGGCATTGACTCCTGCGAAGGGCAGGTGGAGGTGCACTACCAAGGGGTCTGGAGCACCGTGTGTGACAGCGTGTGGTACGAGTCCGAGGCCAAAGTGCTCTGTCGGTCCTTGGGTTGCGGATCAGAGGTGGATTGGCCCAGGGGGCTGCCACACTCTCTGGCAGGTAGAATGTACTACTCCTGTGAAGGAGACGAACTCACCCTCAGCAACTGTTTCTGGCGGTTCAACAACTCTAACTTGTGCAGCCAATCGCTGGCAGCCAGAGTCATCTGCTCAGGTATTCCTTCCTTCCCCAGCCCCTCCACCACTAGATTTAGTCCACAAGTTTCCTCTCTGCCTACAGATGGCTTAGCAACTGGCAGATGCTGGCCCAAGAAAAACCATTGCCCTTACCATGCTCAGGCAGACATTATTAATGGATCGGAATGGTTTTTTGTTTTTGTTTCTGCAAGATGCTCAACTGAGATGCAAATGCATGCATTAAGGATTTATCAAGGAGGTCGTTGTTATGTGCTGAGTAATTGGTCCCTGTTGACTGGAATGGTTCAGTAGGTGAAGCCAGTTTGCTATCCCAAAGGTGATGATTTTGGAAAGCTTTAGATTAGGAAACACGGATGGTAATGACATGTGCCACAGCATCTGGAACTATAGTCATATGACACGTACCACCAAGCTCTCGGTACCTTATCTCAGTTCAGTCTTACACCCACTGTAGGAGGTGGCTTCTACTGCACTTCACCAACTCCAAGACCACAGTGGCAAGTCACAGCATTGGTGTCTTAGGGACCATAACGACAAATAAATGCAAGCCAGAGGTGTAGCTCAGTGGTAGGCTACTTGCCTACCACTTTCCTAGTGTGCATGGTGCCCTGGATTCAAACCTCAGCACCTCAAGGAAGGATAGGAGGGAGGAAGAGAGGAAAGGAGGGAGGGGAAAGAAACGCTAGAAGTCCTGGTGCAGCTGGTTTGGTGAAATAAACTAAAAAGAAACATTGTCCAAACCCTTGACATGCTGTCACACATAGTGAGGCCATTATTCCAATTACAAAGGCATTATAGTATGAAAGTGAGGTCCCCACCTGCAGGAACCCATTGTTAGCCTCCCTGTGGGGCTCAGAGTTCTGACTTCAAGTTCCAGCTTTGCTGTTTAGCAGCCAGGAGGACTGGGACAGTTCCTCAACTTGTGTGGCTTAAGAATAAAGGATGCTCCTCCCGGTAGCTGGAGACAGGGATGCTATGGCTGCTGGCTGTGTAGGCTGCACAAGTAAGGAAGCAGATCCCTTATGTCAATGAGGACATGGCCCTCTAGCTGCTGAGTTCCCAAAGAGCAAACTGAAAGTGGAGTGGGGAAAGGACACAGGGTTTGTAGCAGTTTACGCAGGAAGAAGGAATAGTCCATCCGTCCCCATTCTAACTGAAGCGTCTTCCCAGCCAGCTCCCCAGGGATTCTCTCACTGCTAGGGGCTCTGTTTCTATATCCTTGTGCCCACAATGGGAACCCTCCATGGTTCCAGGGCACTTGTCTGTCTTGTGCAGTTTCTAGAACAAGGCTTGACACACAGCAGGTACTCAGGAAACTCACCAAGGAAATGGGTGGTACTTTCTGACAGGCTCCCGGAGACATCACAACCTGTCCACTTCTGAAGTACCTTCCAGAGTGCCGGTCACGATAGGTGAGTGTGGCTTCTCCCAACAGTGCAGGTGCCTGTGTGTGCATCTCTGATCATACACTCATGGATGTCTCCCTGGGGACAGCTGGTGACTTGTTTCAGAGCTCCCAATCCCACCAATAAACTTATCTCTCAGGGGCAGGGGGCATCCTGCTGCACAGGACCAGTCATAGAGGACCTCTCTCTCTCTCTCTCTCTCTCTCTCTCTCTCTCTCTCTCTCTCTCTCTCTCTCTCTCTGTGTGTGTGGGTGTGTGTGTGTGTGTTGCTTTGCCAGAGAGGTCCTAAGTGCTTTGGAACCACTTGGGTCCAACACTCCTGTCCTGGCCATGTGGTGGAGTATCAAGAGGACCAGTGAGTGTGCAAGGTTTAGGGCATTGGGATCTAGTTCCCTCCTGCATTATCTCCCAGGCCTTTCTGACCCTTGCCCCACCCCAACTCAACTGAGGGAAGCCTCTCCAAAGTCTGAGGAACAAGCTGAGGTTCAGAGTCAGGGTTACAGCAGTCCTGTTGGCCAGCAGCACTCGAAACTTCAGCTCTATTTCCAGTCCTGTGCCAGGTCTGTCTACTAGCTCTGTGTAGCTTGGCAAGCACCAGGGCTGGCTCCTGGGGCTCACATCCCTGTTGTGTGTGTTAGCTCTGTGTGGTCACATCTCTGAGCCTCAGGTTCCTTGAGTTTGGGATGGTGATCAAGACTTCTTTCTTTCACACACATAGGGATCTGTGTGAAGTTATTTCATGAGACCGATTTCTAACACTTAGAATGGGTCTGTGCTGTAAGAGCCACGTGGAAGTCCAGCACTGGCTGGGTTCCCTTCCCCACTGCCTAGATCACTTGCATCCTGCCTCAGACACTCAAGATATGGCAAGACAGGGGACTGGAGGAGAGACTGAAGGACTAGAGTCCTGCCAGAGGTCCTGGCTATGTATAAAGAGCAGAGACAGGAGTGAGACGCTAAGAGCTGCCCTGGCTATGGAACAAGGCTGGCAGGATTTGCAGCTCCCTAGTCCCCCTTTGAAGTCAGGGTGGAGAGTCACACCTACTCCAAAATGCAAAGAGAGACTAGGCCTCTTGGAGCCAGCTGGGGGTCCATTGTCAGCATTTCCCTGGGGTTTACACCCCAGAGCCCCCACATCACCGCATTCCCTCACACTGCTTCTGGGTACTAAGTCTACTTTCTCTTCCTAGTCCAAACCATCCTGTCAGCAGCCAGAAAGGAAAGGGAAGAACATGAGGACTGGCCCAGTGTTGTGTTTTTCTCTGAGGAAGCAGACTTAGCCAAAGCATGGGGCCCAACTTGGTGGAGCTCCGCACTTGGTGGAGCCTCCAAGACTGTGATAATGTCACCATGTCATAATCCTAGAATATAAAGCCTGACACACATAGTACTAAATGATTGTTTGCTGAACAAAGACTAAGTGCTGAAGGCCAGGAGAGGGGGAGGGGAGAGGGATCCAGAGGAAAATTTCAGACAGTAAATGCATTTAGTCAATTGCTCATTTAATATTCACTCACAGAGCACTCACCATATATGAGGCACTTAAAAGCCATGGAAAGATTTGAATAGAAGAAGGGAGGGAGAAATGGTGAAAAGGAAAGGGGGACCTTTCATCAAGGTGGAAAGGCAGGGAACCCACATCCCTTCCTTTTTCTGCCTGAATTGGAGTTCTTGTTTCCAGAATCTTCTGTGCCATTGAGTACGAAGGACAAGGAGTCTCAAGAGCCAGCACTTCTCATTTCCTGCATTGTCCTGGGAAGTCTCCTTCTTGTCTCCCTCATCTTCATAGCAATTCTTCTCTTGAAAGGGAAAGGACAATACGGTAGGTGTGATGTACCCACAGCTCTTGGTTAGGAAACCTGCAGTTGTGAGGCATAGGCGTCCCCCAGTATGTGAGGTGTGGGAAGATCCCCAGCAGGAGTGGTCCTGCAAGGACGGTGCAGCTCAGGCCTGGGGAAACCTTGACGGTGGGAAGGATTTTCCCAGCCTGCCCAGTAGTGGAGCCCACTTAGTGGAGGTCTCTCAGGAGAAGCAGACTCTGTGTTTGTGTTGGGTGTGGAGCAAAGGAGCTGTGTCCTTGAACCTGGAACCCGAAAGGCTGGGAGACAAAAATAAAAATGATGCATAGGCTGTCTGCCTCCCTTCCCTTAGCCCTCCCTGTTTCAGTGAACCACCAGCACCTGCCCACTGCCATGCCAGCAGGAGTCAATAACTATCATGCTGTCCCCATCACCATTCCCAAAGAAGGTAGGATGTCACCCGTGGGGGAAGGCACGGGGAGGATGGGAGGGTAGACTCTGGAGGATCACCAACGCTGAAGTCAAAGTGGCATCGACAGGAGAGAAGCCTGGGTCAGACTATGCACAGGTTGTGTTGCCTTAAGCAATTCACAGTCTCTCTGGCTTAGCAGACAAATGACTTTCTAGTTCAGCCTTGCGCCAACCCTGGGCTTTTGAGTTCTGAGCAAATACAAGAGAAGTGTTTGGAGTGTTGGTTCTCAGAGGAAATGTTAGCTCTGCTCAATAGATTTGTGATGTCACTTCTCAAGATGCTTCCCAACCAGATATCCCACAGAGTCCACCACTGTCACCCCAGAACAAAGGGTGAGGGTGTGGCTACATTGGTTGTGTTCATTCCCCAGCAGCACACAACCCAGACATGATGGTACACTCCTGTAATCCCAGCACATGGGAGGTAGAGGCCGGAGGATCTGCAGTTCAGGGTCATCCTGGCTATATATTGAGTCTGAGGCTAGCATGGCTTACATGAGACCCTATCTTTAAAAAAGAAAGAAAAAAATTCTTTTGGAATTTAACTTTTTACCATATTCTCTGAGTTAAAAAAAAAAATAGGACTGGGAGACAAACATGAAGGCCTGAATTCAGTCCCTAATATCCATGCAAAAAGTTGAGCATGGTGGCCAGGGGCTGCAATCCCAGTGCTGCGGAGGCTGAGATAGGTAGATCCCTGGCTCTAGCTGGCCCAACAGTCTAGACTATTCAGCAAGCTCCAGGTGCTAGTAAGAGATCCTGTCAAAATGTGGTGCAGGGTATGGTGGCCAGTGGCACATGGCTTTAATCCTACATCTCCAGAAGCAGAAGCAGGCAGATATCTATGAGTTCAAGGCTAGCCCTATTGACATAGAGAGGTTCAGGCCAGCCAAGGGTACATACTGAGGCCCTTATCTAAAACAAATAAACAAAAATGAAGCTTCTATCTCTTTGGGCTGGCCACACACACACACACACACACACACACACACACACACACCAGTCACACATCTTTTAGGACATTGCGTTGTAAAACAAAATGGGTCACTTGCTATTCTGTCCCCTGTCCCTGCTACTAGACTCTCAACCTCTCCCCTTAAGTGTTCTGCCCACATTGGTGCTGGGCCCTGCCCCCCAAATCCTCTGTTCTCTCCCCAGCTCCCATGCTGTTCATCAAGCCCCGGGTCCCTGAGGTCTCGGACTCCAGTTCCGACTCCGACTATGAACATTATGACTTCAGCTCCCAGCCACCTGTGGCCCTGACCACCTTCTACAGTGAGTGCTGGGCTGGCTCCAGGGGCTTGGGACCTGCAGGAGGGTACCTGCTGATGCCCACAGGGCTTTCACAGGACTTTCTTGTTGCTCCCCTGTACTCCCCTTCAAAGTGCCCTGTGACCCTGGAGCTCTGTCTGTACACAGGAGTGTCTCCTGGGCTATGTCTGGCTGGGTACCACCTCAGTACCATCATCAGGCCCTGCACATGCATCTAAGAATGCTAAGACTGTGCAAACCCTGAGGGTTCCAGTGAGACACAATTCAGGCAAATCCTTACACACTCATCATCCCCAAACCATGTCTTACTCTGGCCTGCTCAGCCCCTCCACTGCCATGCCAGCTCACGCCTTAGTTTGTCTAGCTTACCCACTGCCTGCTGAGAACAGAACCAGGGAAGACAGCACTTGCATCAGGGCCCAGGCAATGCTTGGACAACAGAGGCTCCCACACCTCTGTGGATCTACTTGGAGCATGTAAAAAAATCCTTGAGCCCCATTTATACATACTGTGCAATCAAGTTAGTACCAGAGTTCAGCCATGTGTGACAGAAAACATCCAAAATCAGAGTCCTGAAAGTTGGGGGAGCCCCAGATCCCTTTGATGCTGCTGTGAAGTCCCTAGGGTTTTGCTTTTATCTACATGATGCAGAAGGCATCATTGTCATATCCACACAGCAGGACAGCAAGGGCATCCTTCACTCCCATCCCTCCATTCAGAGCACAAGCCTGCTAGCTGTAAGAGGGACAAGACAGGAAGCCTCCACCAAGGTAGCTAAGGGTTATGCAGGGGAGGGTGGACACTGGGCAGGGGCAGCTATCTCCACCTCACCTGGTGACTCGGGGTCTCTGAGAGGATCCCAGAGGAGGATCCATGGGTGATGTTTGGTAGTGGGACATCTGAGCCCAGGTGTGTAGGGTGTGATGTTGTGTCCCAAATGCTATGACATTGGAACTCAAAATCATTGCTAGGCTTCAAAGAGCTGACCCACATTCTTAAGCTGGATCCCGAGATTAAAGCTGAGCAGGGTACCATGGTTCTGGGCCACGTGGCTTCTCCTCCACCCCAGGAAGTGCCTCCCAGGGCAGATACAAGTCCATTTCTGGACCAGCTAGGGCACTAGAGATTTCAAATCTTGTAACATCCTTGTGAGGAACAACCAGGGCATACAGTCAAGCCCACGGTTGGCAATATCCTTATGAGGAGCATCTGTGGCACAAGGCAGGGATGGGGGAGACCAGGTTTCTAGCCAGGAACCTCCTGTCTCCCTGCCGGTCCACGGTAGACCTGAGATACCCTAGATGAAATGGAGCCCTGTCCCAGTCAGGGTTGTCCTCCTCCAGGCTCCTGGCTTGAGACGGAGCCTGTATGTCCACCTACCCTGTTTTCCTGCAGATTCCCAGAGGCATCGGGTCACAGAGGAAGAGGCCCAGCAGAACAGGTTTCGGATGCCACCCTTGGAGGAAGGTGAGTCCACAGTGGATGGGCCTTGGAGAAGATAAGCAGGGTGCCAACCTTGCCTCCAAACTCAGTAGCTCAACTCACCTTAGGATGCACTAGAAGAAACTTCTCTCAACTGATGTCTCTGGCCTAAATATTCCCATAAGCAGTAAGTTCTGTTGGCAGTCTAATTTAAAGCCCATCTTGCTTCCTTCTTTCTCTTTTCCTGGCCCAGGTCTTGAAGAATTGCATGTTTCCCACGTCCCAGCTGCTGACCCCAGACCCTGTGTGGCAGATGTCCCCTCTCTGGGCTCTCAGTACCACATGAGGAGCAACAGTGGGTCCAGCACCTCCTCTGGGGAGGCCTACTGCAACAGTCCCAGCAGCAAGCCACCCCCATGGAACTCTCAGGTGTTTTCTTCCGAGAGGAGTCCCCCCCGAGAGCAGCCCTCCAACTTGGAACTGGCTGGCTCTCAGGCAATGTTTTCAGGTAGTTGTGTGCCCTCCCAAGCTCCCAGTTCTATGTCTAACCTACCCAGGAGAGGCATAGACCCCAAATTCTGAGCAGCTAGCTGGCTGTGTGACCTTGGACAAGTCTCCTCCCCTCTCTGGGCCTTCATTTCCTCATTTGCCTAGCTCCAGACTTAGGTCTCCTGATTCCTCAGGCTGGCTCCTCGCAGAGAGTAACTAGCTTGGGTCTTCAGCAGGGACAGCTGCAGACGGTGACAGTTCCAGCACCTCGTCTGGAGAGTGGTACCAGAACTTCCAGGCACCACCCCTACATCCTCCAGTGGAGCAGTTTGAATGTCCAGGTAGGTGTGGCAGAGGCCAGGTGGGGGTGGGGGATGTGAACAGGATGGAGAACTATTCGGAGGTTTCTGTTAGAGGAAGTGAGCTCACTGTCAATGGCGGCATTCGAACAGAAGCTGCTGGGTGGCCACGTAAGGGAAGTGTCAGTAGTAGTAAGGTTGCTGGTACCTACTCATCCTCCATGCACCAGCCTGGACCTCAGCTCTGGACTAGACAAAGTTCTGGCTGGAGGCAGCAGTGAACAACAGGATAAGATGATTTCAGATGGTGACACAGGCTCACTGTCTCACAGCACGTGGCAGGGATAGCAACTGTGCCTCCTGCTGACCTGATCCTTCTGGCCCCACAGGACTCCCTGACCCCCAACTGGACTCCACTGATGAAGACGAGGACTATGATGACATTGGAGCAGCCTAGCCTGGGTGCCTGAGGCTTATGGGTGGCCTCTCCCCTACACTCTCCTGCTCTACCACCCATCAACTTCCAACAGGCTGAGGCCCCTAGCGGAGGTAGAAGGGCGTCCTCCCAGACCCTCATCCTCCACCCATCCTTCAACCTGCAGGAGCCTGGAGCAGAAGGAGTGACCAACTGTGTGAGCACTGAGTCCTGGGTCAAGCAAGCAGGGTCTGGCCACTTCTGACAGTGGCACTTTTGGCAGGGCCATGCTAGGTACCTCTGAGGCCTCAGCTCACTCTGCCATGTCAGATACTCTGATCCTAAGTCTCGGGAAGCTACCTAGGGGCTGAGCAGCTCACCCACTGCTGCAAGATAGGTCCTGGATCAGGGGCTGCCATTATCACTCAGGAAGGCCATGCTGTCTGAATACAGAGAAGCACCCATTTAGCATGGGACATGGCCTTCCTGGGTACTGTCAGCTGAGAGTAACCAAGACAAACACATGCCCCCACCCACTTAGGCCGATGCCAGTCCTGCCAACCAGAGGTCTCTGAGTCCACCACAGGCACTGGCTGAATCTCTATCTCTATCCCTGGGCAACTGAACATTATTCTGAGCTCCTTGGGGTTTATAGAGGGTCCCTGCCCAGCCATAGAGTCAAGGGACAGGCAGCTCAGTTGGGGCAAGAGTGCAGGGCTCTACCTGAAGGGCTAGAGGCCACCAGAAGCTCTGAGTCCCCATAGATCCCCCTTGGACTAACAAGAACTCTTTGGGTGAATGTAGCTATTGCACCCACGACTTTAAAGAGAACCTCTCCACAGCCTCAGAAAAATGGAGGGTTCCAGCCAGGCTATGGTGGCCTGTCCTGAGTTCCTGAGATTAAATGATTGCTGAGTGAAAATGAGGTGTGTTGTGACAATTCCTTAAAGTCAGTGCTGTGTGTGCTTGTGTGTGTGTCCACTCGCACATGTGGCAGCATACACTTCCTCAAGGGTAGAGGAGCTCAAATCCTTGCAATGGAAAGTTCTGGAGGCTCCAGTAAGAATTAAGGAAGGAGGTAACACCATGCACCTGGCCACCCAGGTTTAGTCACAAGGGATATCTGGACACACACCCTAAGGTTGTTCCCCGAGGGATGAGAAATGGGTATCCTGTGGTTGGATGAGGACTTGAGAGTTCATCCCCCCTCCACACACACACACACACACACACACACACACACACACACCCAGCAGCCTTAGGAGGGAAGCCTGGTGCTTCGGTACTCCCATAAAATACTCTCAAGGGAGAGGTGGCCTAAGAGCAGCCACCTTCCTGGGACACTGTTGGTAGGAGACCAGTTGAATGCACTCTGCCGGGGCTCCATGCTAGCTGGGCAAAGAGGAGGCAGCTTTGATCCATTTGGGCAGAAATGTCAGAACCGCCATCCACTGTGGCCTGCACTCTGGCCAAATGCAGGGAAAAGAGAGCTGGGCCAGCACCATGCAAAGATGGAGGGCAGGTGGGAGCTTCCCTGCTGCTGTTCCCTGTGTGGGCCAGGCTGGCTCTGCCAGAGGAGCTGGCTGTCCAAATCCCCTGGCTTTTCACACTCCACCTCCACCAGACCAGTCACCTCCCCATGCAGAGTAGATGCTGTGGTCCATGCTGCCTGGCTGCCATGACTTTAACCTTGATGAAGCATTGTTCAATGCTACCTGCCGACTGTGAGTCTAGCCTCCCTCTGGGAGCTAGGGTGGTTGATGGGCCCACTTTTGGCTCCTGTCCCTGCTGTACCAGCTACAGGCGCTCCCGGGGCAACTGTCCCAGGATGTGGTTGCCTGTGCTGAGGTACCTCCTATACAAGTCTCGTAACCACTATGGGGGATTTCTAGAGGAGAAGCCAAGGCTTCGGGGCATGGGGGACACGGGGACGACACTCTCCTGGCCTGAAACACTGGGAAAGCTTTTTGCTCCACAGTCTGGGTTCTACTCCCGGTGTCATGCCATCCGTAAATCCTGTGCCACCTCCCTCAGGCCGGCTGCTCACCCTCTCTGGTCCTCTGCTAGCAGAAGCTTGACTGCTGTGTGTGCATAGAAAATCTTCAGTGCTGAGGATGTCAAGGGCTCTGCACCAAGGGCTCCCACATTGTCACACTAAAAGGTGATATGCACAAGTCTGGCTCATGAGGCTAAGTAGTAAGCTGCATGCCTGTGTCCCTGTGTGGCAGCCAGACCCAGCAGGAGCTCCAGCCTGGCTCTGGAGCCCTGAGCTTGGGGAGGGGGATTGTGCTGGGACACCAGATACCCTGCTAGAGCAACATACTCTCCTGGAACCTGAGCTCAGGGACATAGATGGTTCAACATGCACAGAGAACCAGGTTCTGTGCTGGGTCCTGGGTGAACAGAGAGGAATGGAACCTGGCCCTCATTCTTGGGACTTCACAGTCTGGGTTGTGGATGGTAATGGCAAACTTGACAAATAATGAAGGTAAGCAGCATTTGCCAGGTGGCTGTGGTTTTATCATCCTGATAAGGGCACTCTGAGAAAGGATTATCTGCACCACTTACAAAGAAATCAAGGTCAGAAAGGCTGAGTGGCTAGCCAGAAGTCACATAGGTTGACATGTAGCACAAATTTTCCTCCTAACTCAAAAGGGCCAACATGGAGCCACTTACTTACATGGTAAGGACATATCATGTCTAACCCACAGGAACCTCAGTGACCCGCTTGACACCCCCTTGCTCCCAAACGATCAAGCCTAGGAAGGCTAAGACAGAAGGCAGGCCTTTTCTGTCCCCTCAGATTCTCCATTCTGGACACATGTGGGCATCTCCCCATACTAGAAGGTTTGTAGTTACTAAAGATTCATTCCTCACACATACTGGCTATTTTTGAATGGATCTGAGGCTTTGGGGAGAAACTTCTAGACTGAAGCCAGCACTGGATAGTCTCAATGGAAACATTATCCTGAAGCACTGACATCACCCAAACACACCATCTCCATCTTGCACAGGACACCACCACATTGCTACAGTGACAGCAGGAACAGAGACGAAGAAGTCAGTGTCTAAAAGGGTGTGGTGGGAGAAAATAGAATAAAAGAGGGGATAACTGAGCTGGCTATTGAATGATGTATAGTAGTTTGTAGGATAAGAAAATAAAAATATTCACAGAGGCATCCAAATTTGGGCTGTGCCATCTGTAGTCCAGGATCAGGTACTCCAGGTAAGAAAGACCATTGCTGGTGTCTTGGAAGCCTGTGTCATTTCCCCAGGGTGTTGGTCATTGTTCTTGAGACCCAGGGGAGTGATTTGATAAGAGGGAACTTCAGAAACATCTCGCTGTAGAAAAGAGGTTGCATGAGGGCCATGGGGGGCGGGGTGCCTTCAGAGCACAAGAGGCCAGCACTGGAGATGGAGGACATCGGGAGACTGGAGAAAGACTTGGAGTTCAGAAAGTGTTCACTGGTGTGGGAGATGATTTTCTTACACCAGCCTCCCACCCCATCTTAACAGAGATGCCGACAGCCCTGAGATCACACACACACACACACACATACATACATACATACATACATACATACACCACACCCACACACACACACACACACACACACACACACACACACACACATTGGGCTCTAGTGGAGGAAGTTGAGGCTGTGAACTGGTCTTTCTCCCAGGTCTATCTGCCTGGCATGGTGTGAACAGGCCCTGGCTGACATTCTGAGTGGCCTCGGGAGAGTGGTGAGGTCCACACTAAAGGCTCCTCTCTGTGTCTTCTATTGTATGAATGTCATCTGAGGCTCCTCCCCTGGCAGGATGGCCACCAGGCTCCAAGGCTCAAACGCTCACTTGCAGGGTATGCCCGACAAGTTCCATTCTTCACCTCCCTGCATGTGGCTGCCACCTCTGCAGATTTATGAAGACCCCCTTGAGGGTCCTAAAGGTGGGCAGGGACACTGGAATGTGGCTGCTCCTCAGGGACCCCTCTAGAGATGACCTTGATACTCTGGCCTGGCCTGGTGAGATGGGATAGGGTCCCCTTGGCTGGGAGGAGCAGGGGAGCCCCTGTGTGAAGGAACCGGTTCAAAGTCATCTTAGTGGAAAGTTTGTCTCCTACCACATCCTTCAGCTGTTTACAGCGTGGCAGGGGCCTGGCATCCTGACATGAAAAGAGGCTCACCCCGCACCATCATGGAGGAAGGACCAAAATAGCAGCTAGGGGAGGGGGCCAGAGAAAAAGAGAATGTCAGGGGCGAGGTACATCCCTTGGTGTGTCCTCACCCCCCAGGGCTACAGTTTCGTGAGAACTATGAAGCCCAGAAAAGTCTCCAAAGTAGGTCAAGGCCACCTGGGTGGGGCTATGGGGCCTGATTCAGTCCACACACTATTGCCAAGGGTGGAGAAGGTGTTTGGGAAGACAGTGGGCTGGAGTCCCTGGGAGGATCAGGAGGTAGATAAGGACTATGGGTAGCCCAGAAGAGCTCAACCATTCTGGCTGCAGGTGGATGTTGTCCACCCAGCACAGGCCCACCTGACACCAGCCTCCCGCCAAATCTAAGGATGGAGGGCGCTCTGCCTCAGCATCATTTGCCTCTTAGAGGTCACCAGCTTCCAAATGAACTTCCTGCCTCTGACACTGCTCTCCACAGCATCAGCTTTCCTGTACTGTGTCATAAGCAGAGGTGAGAGAAGTGAATCAAGCACACCGTGTTCCTCCATGGCCATTAAGCATCCTCCCTAGACCTGGGCTTCTGTACACTGAGCTACAGCCAAGCCCAACCCTGCCCTGCATTCTCCCTTACTGGGTGCAACAATCATTCTCTGGATTTCATCTCCCCCCTGACCTCCATCCTTCCCTGACCTCCATCTTCCCCTTGGCCCTTCCTCTGCCCTCCAAGTATGTAGTCACCGTACTTCTGAGGATGAGAGCCTAACATACTCATATCATAGTGATTCCCAATCCTTACTGCTAAGTTATGACACAGTGACCCGCTTTGTGATGTGACCTCAATGGTCACCATTTGCTCCTCAAAACC